TGGAAGATGTTCAGTAGATAAGTTCTGATTTGAATATACTGCCGAATTTGGTCAGGATGTTGCTATTTAAATGAGATGAAAGCAATGGGAAGGGGACTAAAAGTTGGGAGCAGTGAGGGATGGGAGGGTAGGGTAGAGGGTAAAAAAAGAATTAAGACGTTATGTACGTGTAGCAATTCTCCACTATAAATGTAATCATTAGGTACTAGTGCAAATATGCACTAATACAAATGTTGTTTTTAAATCTCTAGAAAAGAAAACAAAGTTATAGACACCTCTTTGGAGTCTCACAAATAGCAGGGAGATAATTTGGAATGATGATCTTAACATCCCATACCCAAGGCCACATTCTTAAAGTACAGCCTGTAGAATGGAACATACAACCAAACATGTTGGTGTTGTGAACAAATAAACAGAGTAATCTTGCTTTAAATCATAAACCTATCTTTTCTTAAATGTGTTATCTAGCTAGATTCTGTAAGACTCCTAAGGCTCAATTTTAAGGTGGGACGGGAATAGTAGCTACATTTGAGAGACCTCATCAATATTAAATCAAATGATACATATAAAACAATAAACTATACAATGAAAAGCAGTTTAAAATGGCTGGCAAAGCCGGGAATTTAGCTCAGTGGCATTGCACTTGCATTGCAAGCACAAGGTCCTCTGTTTAATTCCTGGTACTGAAAAAAAATAGCTAGCAATAATAACATATTACTATTATTGTTATGATTATCCAAATTGTTCACCAATATAGACATGATCTAACTTAAATAATATCAGTTTACTTATAAAGATACATTGCTTCCTAACAATTCTGACAAGTGACATGATTGCCTTTCATAAACTAAAAAAAAAAGTAATGAACGTATAAGTTAATAAACTTCCACAAATTAGGGAAGGACTTGACTCAAGTTACACACCTTCTTTTAAAGAATGTGTGAATTCCGTGGGGGTGAGGTGTAAAAGCTGGTGTTTGAAAAATAAATTAAAAATAGATATTTAAAAAATAAAAATCTGTGTCTTTTGGCATTGCAGAAAACACATCTGCAGTATTTGGAATGAACTGCCAGATTGAAAGCTATGGCATCTAAATCCAGGCTTGATTTAGTTTTCCTAAAAACCACCCACAATTTCAAACACTATTTTCTAAATGCATATGCCCAGAAATTTGTTAACCCAAATATTAGAAAAGATTTTAAAATTATAGAGAAATAAGCTAGTCAAATATAGGACCTACTTCAAACTCTAAATTTTGCAGATGAGAATACTTAAGGCCCAGAGAGATCTTAAAATTGTCTGGAGATTTTTTCTTAGGTGGCACAGGAGAGTTCAATACATCTTTTGTTGTCAACATGGAAATTTCTGAATGAATGTTTTGGCACAAAAGCCAAGAGGGCAGTGGCAGAATCAGTCTCCTTTTTAGACTTATTTACTTGGTAAGGCAAATTCTGGAGAGTCAAGTGGTCCTTTTCTGCTTTTCAGAGGTAAGTAAATTACTTCTGTAAGGAGACCCAAGGCCTAACAAGACCTTTTCCTGCAGGCTCCATCCAGAAAGCTGAATTGTCAAAAAAGAAAACAAAAACAAAAACAAAATCACTAAGTTTCACATTAACATCATATTTGCAATATAGCTATGCAAATGGTTAAAAAAACTTCCTAGTTCTGAGATTGAACTCCACTGAGGAATGCTTATAGCATAAGTATAATGGCAAGGTGCAGACAAAGGTGAACATCATTGAGAAATAACTTGCATAATCCTAGAGAGAAAGGATGATCCTATTTGTAGATCTTCTTTTCTACTTTTTAAATTCTCTCCCTTCCCCCATTTTTTTCTTTTCAATGATATAGCTCTACTCCTTCACATATATAAACCAGAATGAAGTGAAAACTTCTGAATTAGAACAGATGGCTGAGGACATTTCTTCAAAATTAATTCCATGGGCTGTTAACAAGTGTTATCTGGGGGAAAAAGTGTCTGGAAAATATTATGTGAGTTAAATTTTAAAATTTCACTAAAATACTAGGTAGTGCCCTCTATATGCTAATGTGCAGTTGAAATTTTGGAAGAGTAGTATAAAATATATTCAAGCACTTTTCTAACTTAGTTGATTTTTTCCCTCACAAACCTTATTTTAGTATACTAGAGAATGAATAACCAAAAACCTATTTGACTACACAATTTGCAAATTCCCAAAGTGCACCTAATGCCATAAAAGAGAAAACTGAATGTCATTTGTTCCTTGAATGGATCCTTCTTGGTTTCTCCAAAGACTGGTCCCTACCTAGGGAGAACCAGGGAGTAATTCTTACCCAAAATGCAAAGCAGCGTTGTCACATGGGTAAGAAACTATACATTGGAAAGGTGAGACTGGGAGAGACCAGAGAAAGACTTGTGCTATGCTCAATATTGAAAAATTTAAAATGAGTTTTCATTGATTTTTCAGTACAGAAAGAATGACAAAAGTTGGAATCAGTTTATCCTTTATCCCTCTCCTGTCTCTACCCCCACCTGTAGTGGGCCCCTAGGGATTCCTCAAAATGGGCAGGTTCTATGGAATACAGTTAAAAATAACACCTTGTGTGTACATGACTCCTTCCTTTTTCTAATTTGGAGAGGGAGAGGGTAAATTATTATTTACTAGAATAATTAATGTTTGTGACAAGTGGTGTTACTAAATAAGAAATCTTATTTTAATGAATTATTTGATTTGACTACCTGACTGGGCTTAAGAAGGCCAGAGAGAGGTGACTAACCATACACAAGAACCTAAAGGACTATACAGGGTCCCCAGGGTAGTCTGAGTATAGGGGAACAAGGGTAATGAAATAAAAAATAGGAAGAAGATTTAATCAAATGATGTAAGGCAGAAGCACAAAATGGTGTATATGTTATCTGGGAAGATATTTCAGAAATCCAACTACTTTTTAAATTATGTGTAGGACAGTGATTGGAAAACTTTCCTATGTTAGATCTTAAAAAAAAGTCTATAAAAACTATTTGGAACCTTAGTCTGAAGCAAGTTTCATGTCTCAGAATAGAAAAAGGAAAGATCATGTGGGACAATTGACCCATATAATGATACAATCTGGCAATAGTGGGACACAAACTATAAGATACTATAAGAAATCTCAACATTGGCATAATGTCTTGTACTTGCATAATGTATAAAATGAAATCTCGAGGAAGAGGGAAATTCTAGCTAATATCCGTATAACAGAAGGAACTGAGGTGTTGTAATGAAAAGCCTTGCACTGCTATGACTTGTTGCACTCACTACTTGAAAAGGCCAATAGGCTGAATGAGTTGGTTTGTAGCCCTAATGATTAATTAGCCACGTCTTCTTTAATGCCTTACTCGAACTTTAAATTTGGCACGATCCTGACTGTATTTCCGCATTTCCTCCCCAAGTCCCTGTGTCTGCGTTCTGCTTCTGTGAAGGTCTTTTTCATCCCACTTCTCAGTAAGAAACCTATCCTTACCTCTTTCTCCCATTCATATCACAAAACTAACTAGTCACTAGCAACTTAGTTTTTGCCTATTACCACTCTCTAAGCTTTCTCACTTCATCAGGTTAGCTTGCGTTTTCTCACTGGAGCCATTCTAACTCTTGACAGCTTATTCTCTCTACTCCATCCATTTTCCAGGGTGCATCAGTTATTATCTAAACTGCTGATCTGATAAAGTTGCTCAACTGCTAAACATCATTATTTAGCTCCCCATTGCCCATAGGATGAAGTTCTCATAGCCTGGCTAAAAGATTTATTGCAAATGTATTCTTGTGTCCTGCTACAAGTTTTAACTCCTGTCATTCCTCACCCTGTACATCATACTCTAGGGCCACCCAAACTATTTTCACTGTTAAATCTTTCTCCTCTTTTTCTTGACCTTCCTCACAAAGACCTTGACTCTGTGCAAAATATCCATGCTTCATACGATACAAGCTAGCAATAAAGGATAAAAATAAAATATCTGATAAAAATTAATATTCTCCCTTCATATGCTATTTACACTGTTTAATATTTTAATGCAATAGAAAAAATAATATGCATGATTTTGTATGTTGTATCACACTCGTTGGAAAGAATTACAGAGATCTTTGGTAATTGCTCAGACTACACCTTGCTGGGGAAGCACTTCTTTCCATGACTGGAAGCGTTTGGACAATGGAGTGCCCATTTTTCTGGAGGACAATTCTTCCTAGTAAGGTAGCACAGTTAAAGTACAGGGCACAGGCTGGAATTCAAGAATGGAGTCTAAGTGTGTTAGACTCCATTTTCCTGTTTAAGGAACCTTAGGCAAAACATTGTACTTTTCTGAACCTCATATTGTCTGTAAGACAATATCTACCTCTCAGGATTTTTATGCATATTAAATGCCATTAGGGATGTAAAAAGACTTTGCACGTGGTAGAGAACAGCTTTTTAATCTGTAAAGCACAAGTGTGCTATAAGGAAAGAATTAAATATAGAATAAAAATACATATGCTATGGAGTTGATCTGTGTCCCACATAAAAATACATTGAAGTATCCCCATACCTGTGAGTATGATATTACTTGGAGACATGACTGTGTAGATGCAATCAAGTCTAGGATGAGGTCATTAGGGTTGACTGTAAGTCAGTATGATTAGTGTCCTTATAAAAAAGAAGGCAAAGATATCTAGGGAGAAGGCTATGCAAAGAAGAAAGAAGATAAGGAGTGATATGGGTATAAGCCAATATGGATCACCAGCTATCACCAGAAACTAGGTGAGAGGCATAATTCAACTTCAGACACTTCAGAGGGATCCAACTTTGCTGACATCTTGATTTTAGACTTTCAGTCTCTCTCTGTATGAGATAATATATATCTATTCCTTTAGGAATTTCAGCTTGTGTTACTTTCTTAAGACAGCCCTAGGAAACTAAGACACAACAGTGTGAATCTTAACTCTGTCATTTACTAGCTGTATGAATTTGAGTTAAACTGTTTGACTCAGTACTTTAAGGACACTTACCTTTCTGTGATTGTTTCTCTGAGGCCACTTGCCACACCTTTGACCACAGTGCTAGCTTTGGGGGTCAGCACTACCTGAGATATAAAAAATGAGCCCTTCTTTCTTCTTTCAGTAATGGATGCCTGAAGAAACTGGATCAGTTTTTCAGGGTCTGTGGTGTTGGCCCAGGGTGCTGGCATCATCTGGCCAGGCCAGAGAAAGGGCACTTCCAGAGCCACTGGGCTATGGTAGAAGACCAGCACTTGATAGTCCTTCTCCCACAGGTACTTTAAACTAACTTCCTGGGCAAAAATTGCTGGGCACATTTTGTTTCCGTAGATATCTTTCAGCATTTGGACCAGTTTTTCATGGTGATATTTCTGCATCCCATAGAAATGATTGAAGTCCAAGAATACCACCTCCTTATGGTGATCTGTGAGGAATGCATTAATCTCCTCAAGACCTTCGTTGACTTTGGCACTGAACAAACCATGTGCGAAGTAAAGTTCATTGTCAGGGTCTCTGGGCTTAGTGGAAATTCGAAGATCAAAATAACGGATTCCAGCTCCTAGCTGACCTGTAAAGTTCATTGTCTGAGTGGCCAACCATTTCCGCATCAGCTTCTTGGCTACAGTTCCAAATACAGAAACAAAATTCTGGACCGTTTCTGGCTGTTCAGGACCTACTGGAGAGGCTTCATCAATGTAGAAGCTGAAGGAATCATGGGACCCTAGGAGAGTAACAAGGCATAATGTGGTTACTGCCCAGTCTTTCATCCTGTGCTACTTTTCCCCCTCTTGCAATGCCCATAATTTTTCTTGAAATGAGCCCAACGAAATACTGAGCAAAATTTAGTTAATTCTGGTATCTTCTTGTACCCTTTTTATAACCTAGTATAGGAGAGATAACACTTCAGTCAATTAAATTGTTTGTGGAATAATATTTTCTTTAGATCAATATTTTAAAATTCCATCATCTCCCATCTCCTCCTGTGAATGAATGCACTTTCTAGATTTGGAATTTGTACAGATGACATAAGGGATCATTCATAAACAGATTTATGCACACTAATTATTCACCAGAAACTTTGTCTGTAATCTCACCTTTTCCCTTCATTTGCAATTGATTTTGGTTCTCTGTGGATCCCCTCAATGAATAACTTAGATTCAGGCAGGCAATCTGTAAGAATTATTACTTCATACACTTTTATTTTAAAAAGAAGATAGATACTTTTATTTTTTCTGATCTAAAAGTTAACAGATGCTCATTAAAATACAATATTAAAGAACTATGCAATGAAAAGCAGAATTTCTAGAAATAATACTGGAACATGATGAAAATTTTCTTTCTCTCTGGTTGTAACATGTAACACAATTATGACTTGTTTATTTTACAGAAAAATATACTTCATGCACTTTGGAAAGGATAAGAATTCAAGAGGATGGAAGAAAAGAGGGATAAGAAAGTAGGAGAAAACAATGCTGATATATTTAACTTCACTTCAGATCTTATTCTTGAGCAATTGTGAATGTAGAAGAAAGCAGGTACTTCTTAAATATTAAGTAAATAATACATTTTTCTTGCAACTTATAACTGTTTTATTCACAGGTATTTCTTTCAACAGAAAAGTTCTCCTTGGATGTGGCTTCTGAATTTAGAAGAATTTCTTACTCAGAAGAATAAGGACTATTAATTAATTAATTTATTTATTTATTTTTGGCAGTTATAAGTGTCATTACTCCATTATTGTTGCAATGAACTTGAGTATGATTGACCTGTAAGTGCAGTGTGCCACTTCAAATATAATTGGCTGAGAATTTAGCTCAGTGGTGCTGCTGCCTGCCTCACAAGCTCAAAGTCCTGATTTTGATCCCGAGTACACACACACACACACACACACACACACACACACACACAAATACATATACATATACATATACATATATATATATATATAATTGGATATCAATAAAGAAAAATTATTTCAAGGTTGAGTTTTGTTGTATCTCTCTAATTCTTAGGCATGACTTCCTGCTTAGCTCAAATTAAATGAATATATTCTGAACGCTTCAATTATTACAAATGGCAGATATACTTCAAATAAGTAAACCTTGCCTTTTCCCTTGTTCATATATCTATTTTTAGTTAATTTGCCAGCTCCCAATAACTGGACTTAAGATGCAAGAGGAAAATTTTTCTTTCCAACACAATGATCAGGAATCAACCACAGCAGCTGAGGGCTTCAGTCTTTAACTCAAGGAAGTACATTTCATCAACAACTAGCAACTTGCAAATTGAGCCTTAGCTTCAAAAAAGATTGCAGTTTTGGCCAACACTTTGTATCCCGGTGAGATCCTGAACACAGGACTTAGCAAACTCATACCCATGCTCATGATCCATATGAATTCTTCTATAAAATTTGTATAAGGTGACTATATGATAATTTTTATGTAATAATATAAAATTTTTCTGTTTGGTAAACTATATTTATTGATTTATTAAACTACTTAACTTCATCTGATATGAAGTGACGCACAAGCATTATAACATAATTGAAACAGTAGGTACTAACATAATAATATATTTGTATCTTATGTGTAACTGGATATGGTGACTTGAAATAATTACATCATTCTAATTAAAAATCCTCATTGAAAATAGTCCTCATTATGAAGTATCTAGGAATCAATCTAACAAAAGAAGCAAAAGATCTCTATGTTGAAAACTATAGCACTATGAAAAAAGAAATTGAAGAAGATATAAAAAATGGAAAGATATCCCCTGCTCCTGGGTAGGAAGAATCAACATAGTGAAAATGGCCATACTACCAAAACTGCTATACAGATTCAATGCAATGTCAATTGAAATTCCAACACTATATTTCACAGCACTAGAAAAAAGAATCCAAAAATTCATTTGGAACCATAAGAGACCTAGAATAGCAAAAGCCATCCTAGGCAACAGACACATGACAGCGGGAATAACAATTCCCAATTTGAAACGATACTAAAAAGCCACTGTGATAAAAACAGCATGGTACTGGCAAAGAAATAGGCCTGAGAATCAGTGGAACCACTATATTTCACAGCACTAGAAAAAAGAATCCAAAAATTCATTTGGAACCATAAGAGACCTAGAATAGCAAAAGCCATCCTAGGCAACAGACACATGACAGCGGGAATAACAATTCCCAATTTGAAACGATACTAAAAAGCCACTGTGATAAAAACAGCATGGTACTGGCAAAGAAATAGGCCTGAGAATCAGTGGAACAGACTGTGGAGGAAGGTAAGTTAGGCAGAACTCTGGAAGACATTGGCATAGGAAAAGACTTTATGAACAAATCCTCAGTAGCACAAGAGCTAGCAGATAGAATCAACAACTGGGATCTCCTCTTATTAAAAAGCTTCTGTACTGCAAAAGAAACCATCAGCAGAACTAAGAGACAACCTACAATGTGGGAAAAATGTTTACCAGCTGCTCCTTAGACAAAGGACTATTATCTAGAATATATAAAGAACTCAAAACAATCAGCCCCCCCAAATATAAAGACCTGATTCAAAAATGGGCATCCAAAATGAACAAACATTTCTCAGACAAAGAAGTAAAAGCAGCAAGTAAATATATGAAAAAATGTTGCACATCACTGGTCATTCGAGAGACGCAGATGAAAACAACACTGAGATTCCACCTCACCCCACAAAGAATGGCTGCTATCAAGAAATCACACAATAACAAATGTTGGTGAGGTTGTGGGGAGAAAGGAACCCTTCTCCGTTGTTGGTGGGAGTGCAGACTGGTGCAACCACTATGGAAATCAATATGCAGACACCTCAAAGAGCTTGGACTGGAGGTTCCATTTGACCCAGCCTTCCCTCTGTGGGGTATCTTTCCAAAAGAACTAAAATAATCATATCACAGTGATGTATGTGCACCCATGTTTATAGCGGCACAGTTTGTAATAGCTAAAACTTGGAAACAGCCCAGTTGCCCATCACTTGGAAACTGGATAAAAAAGGTGTGGTTTTTTTTATAAAATGGAATATTTCTCAGCCATAAGAGTGAGAAATTTGATTCATTAATAGGAAAATGGATACATATTGAAGATATACTCCTAAGTGAAATAAAGAAGTCACACATGTGTAAATACCGAATAGTTTCTCTGGTGTGAATAAACTGCAATAATACATAAGATCCTAATAAGATTTCTGACATGGTGAAATGGGAAGAGATGGGCTAAAGGTGTAGGCAAGGTGGGATGGATAGCAGAAGGGTAATAAGGGAAAAGAAAAACATGTGAGTTAAAGAAAAGATGGAAATAAAGTGCTTGTAGATAGGGAGGGGAGGAGGAGGTGAAGGGAGGGCAGGGACAAGGGGAAAAAATGAGAACTGAGACCTGTCATGTAGAGGTACAAGATCCCAACAATGAATGTAATTGTGCTGTATCCTTAAAATGTACCAATAAGCTCTATTAAAGCTGAAAAAAATAGTCCTCATTAACTGAAAGTAAGTTAGCTTCTCTGCATGGAAAAACATGTCTATGATTAATTCTCTTTTCAAATGTTTGCTTCAGATATAGTGGTTGACCACATTGTAAGAATTTTTTTTTCTGATTCTTTAATTCATTCATCATCCGCCTATTCAGAGGTCTATTAAGTACCTGAATAAACCTGCTACTACTATTACATGTAAAGCACAAACATTGTTCCCATCCTCATGGATTGTAGCTTACTATGCAGTAAACACAGGTAAATAATTGGAGTACAGTTTGGCAACAAGGATGAGTTGGGGTGGAGAGCAGAGAATGTGTGATGATTGATTATCAAGGGATTTTTGCAAACAATTTAAAAGGACTAGAATAAATGCAAAAGAAGTCTTGCTCTTTGGAGTAAATGATTCAGGACTTAGGGAGTCACATAAATAGAGAATGAGCACATCAATGAATGATTTTACCTCAATTTCTCACTACAGCCTGGTTGTGCATTGTATCTTGCCCTTTAATGGTTCATAATTTGGGCATAGACACAAAGAATGAATACTTGTATAAGGCAGCATTTCTTTATTCTTTCAAAAGATAATATGTTGAATATCAACTTTGTTTAAGGAACTTAAAATTTGGCATTGTACAGTAAAAATAATCCATTTAGGCATAGAAGGAATTCATTAACACTTTAATTTTTATTTATACATTTATCTTACAATGGGAAAATTAGGCTTTGGTGACATTTAGCATAGGTACTAACACTGTGAGCCCCCAAAGGAACTAAATGCTACACTCAGCAATCAGGACTCAGAACACACTTCTTCAAGACATGGCACATTTGAAGTTATTATTTTTCACCTTTCTGTGTGATAGTTGGCCATAAAAGAATTCTCTGACCTATTCCTCTCAAAAGTAGATCATAAGGTTCTCATGCAACAGATGTCCTGTCCCATATCCTGAGGAGAAATGTCTTATGAGTCACCAAAGAAAATCTGAACATAGGGCTGAGGATTTAGCTCAGTGGTTCCACCACCTGCTTCGCAAGCAAGGTCCCAAGTTCTATCCCTGGTAGCAAAAAAAAAAAAAAAAAAAAAAAAAAAAAAAAAAAAAAAAAAAAAGAAGAAAAGAAAAGAAAATCTGAACACACAGGCTTTGTTGTGGGCCCTTCCCTAACCCCCAGTTTATTACCAATACATCATACCTTTTTTACCATTAGATCACCATCGTGTTTGCCCGAGCACTCAACT